AGGTTAGAGGCAGCCATAGCTGCCATAGCTGTAGTTAGTAGTGAGTGTGTGTGTTCGAGTGTTAGAGTGATGCGTGTGGGATATCCAGGGGGATCCAGTGCATGTGAACAGTGAGATGTTTGGGCGCTGAAGTCGCCATAGCCATTTGAGAGTGAACTCGTATCTGAAGCCATATCTCTGAGTTTTGAGTGGGCGCAKGTCGCCAGTGTGCTGCGTACTGTTTACATGTGTGAAAAGTGTGTTTGAAAGCGAGTCTGATTGCACTTTGATCAACGCCGGATAATTGCAACTCACAGTGCTCTGCATGGACTGCAGCGGGCACATAACGAACCTGCTTTTTGAATCAATGTGCAGGATTGTACACAGATGTGTGTTGCAGTCATGGTGTGCAGCCTAATCAACCAGAACATTCTATTGCCAGTAGTGGGACAAGGGGCATGATTGTAGGGGTCATGCACAGGAGGTCACTGAGGATTTGTGATGTACCACAGGCGCAAGGCTCCCCGTTAAAACCCCTTTCCTGATTTACACCTTGGCTTTCTGGCATCATGAGAAAACAATTTAAGTTTTGAGATGGAGACCCACTGAGATCTTCACATAAGGGATAGGATCAACATAAAGGACGGGCAATGAGGATGCAACAATCAATGACAGTGGTAACTGGATGGAGCATTGTCTTAGGCCCATTGGCTTAAACCACCAGTACTTGGCCCATACATCGGCCGTGGCAGAAAATAGAATAGAAGTGTTTCTAGTCGGATGAGTTTCCGCGCTCCCCAAGTGGCTCGTTCGTTCGTCATTGTCGCGGCGTGTTGACCGCCGCGACTGTAGGAAGTACTGGTGGTTTGAAGGACCAGTACATCCGTGCCTCTTTTGTATCAGGTGGATTCCCACTGTGCGCCATGGTTTGTCGAAATGCCAGCGTGGTTTTTTTTTTTAGTTTTGGCTGGCGTCGCCAGCCATTTTGGTGTGGTTGCCCTGAGCCTCGGATTTTCAAGTTGGCTGGGGCCATGTACTGGTGGTTTAGCCAGGGATACTGACCACGCCCCGAGCAGGTGGCACTGGCCATGAAGTTTTTCAAGCAATGGCCCGACTTGTGTACAAATGCCTCCACCTGTGAGGGTCCTCAGGGCTACACTGCCCTAGACGTCGGGCACAGCAGGAATACCTATTCTGGTTGGAGGGATTTTGGCCATGCGAAGCGAAATCATACCATTGATGAAGACAGACAACAGTTCTGGGTGGAAAGGTAAGCCTGACATAAGATGAAACAACAGTACTGTATTTGGTCCACCACAACAAAAGGTAGCACCCCTACATCTTATCCAGGTCAGCGAATAAGAATGATACAAAACAAATGTTAATATCTCAGAGTCGGAAAGCATGTCCAGGATAAAGTGAGAATGACCTGCTAGTACAGGTCTGGCATAGCCACCCGATCCACTATAGCGGAAAGCTAGAAAGACCGGAATGTGTGTTTTAAACAACCACAGCTATCTGTTCTCCACCTGGATGTATAGGTGTCTTACTTGGAACAGCCTTACCATAATGATATTTTCAAAGAGAGAGAATTTTCAATTTTGCTGTTTTGTCGAAAAGACCATTTCATTGTTGTATTCTGAGTGGTGTAAGGCCTACCACGTCTGTGTACATGAGCAAAGGATGTGTACACACCTTTTTGCCTTTCAGCATTCTTGCATCCTATATTTTGTCTGTTCTCTTAGTGATGGTCATTTGCATGCATTTAGTAGTTCTGCATGAGGAACAGAGGAGGAGGGGGGCGGGTGGGGGGGGGGAGGGCAGGGAAGGGAGAATGAGGGAGGGAAAGAACAGGGGAAAAGGGACCCCATTAGATCCTCAATACTCACCATTTATAACAGACTGCCGGAGAATGGCATGAAAGCTAGTGTCACAACTTTATGGAGGAGCAAGTATTGCCTATGGTGGGCAGCTACCCCCACAAACCTGGGAAGACCGGTTCAGGTCGGTTCAGTTGTAGCATGTGGTAGAACTGCATCCAATCTTCGCAGATACAGTCACACGTGTCTGGTGTAACGCAGCCAGGTATCACAGGCAAAATCGCTTCCGCATGCTAGGAGCGCAGAGGTGAGGTGATTGTAGTTAGATAGGCACTGCTATTCCAGCCCTTATCTGCAGAAAGGACGTGCTTAGAACCTGGAAAGAACAGAACCAGCAGTGTACTTATGTATGCTTGTCTGTCTGTCTGTGTCTGTCTGTCTGTCTGCCTGTCCATCTGTCTGTCTGTTTGTCTGTCAGTGTATCCGTCTGTTTATCTGTGAGGTAAGCCGTCTGTCTGTCTGTCTGTCTGTCAGTCTGTCTGTCTGTCTGTCTGTCTGTCTGTCTGTCTGTCTGTCTGTCAGTCTGTCTGTCTGTCTGTCTGTCTGTCTGTCTGTCTGTCTGTCTGTCTGTCTGTCTNTGTCTGTCTGTCTGTCTGTCTGTCTGTCTGTCTGTCTGTCTGTCTGTCTGTCTGTCTGTCTGTCTGTCTGTCTGTCTGTCTGTCTGTCTGTCTGTGTTTCTGTCTGTCTGCCTGTGCATCTGCCTGTCTGTTTGCCTGTTTGGCTTTGACAAGCGCACAGCAACTCCTTTTCCACCCAGATGCACAGGTATCATATTTGGAACAGCCGTACGATGTAGAATTTTTAAATGATT